CACACACACACACACACACACACACACACACACAGAGTGGGCCTTTCAGCTGTGTGCCGCGGCATCAGCAGCAAAACAAATGTTTTTTGGGATATGCAATTCTAATAAACTCAGAGGATGATAGATTTCTGCATCCTTTTCATCATGGAGCTCTTTACACAGCCAAGGTCCTCTGTCAGTCACACACAGGGAGCAGGACGCCCTTTGAAGTCTCACTCCTCTCCTTAGATGTTCCTCATTTCCATTCTCCGATGCAGAAATTGTTTGTATTAATGGTGGACTAATGCATGCACGGAAGAGGTGCATGTGTGTGTGTTTCAGAGCAAGGTGGAAATCAGAGGAGGAGATGCACGGACGAGTTGTGTAGCCTACAGCAACACACACACACACACACACTGAAAACAAAAAGCCTTTGAGGTTTCTGAGCACCTCTCTAACCTTCAGTCTTCTCTTAAGCACATTGTGCCCATGAGAGAGGATATCTAACAAACAGAACCACTAATGACAAATGTGCAATGTGGAGGAAATGTAACTCAGACAAACTGAAGTTTAAAACAGTCCCTCCTGTTTGTGTTTAAATTAAAAAAAATACACAAAAATTTTTTATTTTTTATGTGAGTAATATCTGAGATATATCTAGAGGCTACAGACTTCTGTTTAGTTTACTGTGCACTGCAGATACAGGCAAAATCTTTCAGTATCTGGAGGAGATGACCAACCGTTCATGAGAGCGTAGGTGAGGATCATGACCGAGTTGTTGAGGTGTCGGTTCTCCTCTCTGACCACGCTGAGCGTTGCTCGCTTCTCCTGCTCCGACGACTCTCGGGACGTGATACCGGACGACAGGTAGATGATCACCATGTCTGTCGCTGGTGAAGAACGAGAGCACACACATTAGTTATATCAATAAAATGGCAAGAGAATGGGTTATGCTATTAAAAGCAAGAGCTGGAACCGATCCCTGAGGCAGCATTTTAAGATATGTTTTTCTTCCATGGTTCTTACTGGTGCTCGGCCTGCTGAGGCTGGTGGTGTTTCGGAGCAGCTGAAAGGCCTTCTGGAAGCCCCCGGCGTGGTGTGTGGCTCCATCTGAAGCCTTGATGTTGGAGATGAAGGTACTCATCTTCCTCTTGGTCTCGCTGGTGGCCGGCGACAGCAGACTCTTATAGCACTGGTCCAGAGAACAGGAACGAATCGTCTCTGCCACTGAGAGAATGGAGATCTGGAGAAGGATATCAAAGATGTCACTAGAACTTTTGAGAATATACAGCGCCCTGTAAATTTGGAGAGTTTCAAATATCAAAAAAGATAAAACAAGGTTGTATGATTTCGTTTCACTTACTTTGTCGTGCTCGTCTATGGAGTTAAGGATGACGAGTGCCGAGTCCCTCGCAATCTGAAGCTGCGTTTCAGTTACGGATGCTCCGTGGTCGACCATCACCACGATGTGTTTAGACTGGGGACGCACTGCAGACACGTACACGGGCCTACAGAAAATACACACGTTAATACGATTTGTATATACAAATCATTCCATGATTTTACCCTTTATGTGAGATCTTTGGTCATTATTAGCTTATGAATTTCTACTTTACAGCCAAAACTGTCCTTTGTGAAGCCACCGTGACCTCTGACCTTTGACCACCATGTTGAAATGAGTCGATCTCTGACCCCAAGTGAATGTTTGTGCAAGATGTAATGAATATACTGGATTACCACACTCACAAGAATGGGAGACCCTTAAACATCATAATCCTTCCTGCAGTGTAGTCTTCTATAAACTGGAGTTTACTGACACCAGTAACTGTCTCATGAATCTGCAGTAAACAGAACGTCTACCTTTTCCTCCTCCCTCACTTTTCCTTGATGCCTTCGGTTGGAGTCGTCTTTCCTTCTCTAGTCAGTCACCAGATTCCCTTTACTGTTATTTTTGGTGGTGATCCAACACTTTCTGTGATTCTTGTTGTCATTGTTGAGTTATTTGTCCAGAATATTGAGCGCACGCCTTCCTAAATATGGGATATCTTCAAGTCTCCAAAGGGACAAAGGGAATTTTACTTTTCAGTTTTATGCCCATGTGTTTTTGCAAAGTAAAATAAGGTTTCAGGAGCTTTTGAGGTCTTGTTACAAAGAAAACTAAATTTAAATAAAACTCTTTTCGATTAAGTATGAAAACACTTCATTCATCTGGACTTATTTTCGGTGTAATAACAAGTCAACCTCTGTTATTCTGAGCTGATCACAAGGCAAAAAGTAAAGTTGTGCTCAAATAGTGCTTTATGGATTTTTTTAAATTCTAAACCTTTAATGTGAAGTTTGGTGTGTGTTGCTGTATGTGCCTGTATTTTCAGCTTGGTGGCTTTCAGGGGGGTGCAGTGGGTGGGGGGGTCAGCAGCTCAGTGTGTGTGTGGCCCATTGGACACGGAGACACTAACACGGGGCGGAGGAGCCGAGTGATGTGCTCACAAAGGCTCATTCACACAAGTTCTGTCATGGCCGTGTGCCAGCTTACTGACTCACACAGCGAGGAAGACAAAACACAACTGGGAAAATAGTTAAAAAGAGAAAGCCAATGTGAAAAACATCAGATAGCGACAGAAAGACAAAGAGAGAGAAATAAAAGACAAGAGAGAGAGAGAGAGACGTCTTTAAGCTGTGGCCATAAAAAAAGAAAAACCTCCAACACTGGAGGTGTGAAATTCCGGTGGGCTTTAGTGGTACTGAGCCACATTCCTGCCAAGGTCCGTGTGTGTCAGGGGTGTGCAAGGGCAGCATGCCATAGACATGCCCTCTGGGCCACCCCACAGCAACTGACAGAGGGGGAGGGAGAGGAGGGAGTGGAGGGGGAGGAAGAGGCAGGAACGAGTCCCGGCTTTAATCTTCTTTTCTTTTGTATGAATACTTTCGACATTAATACACTTTTCCATTTGACCTCCTCTGTTTCACTTCTGTCCGTCCTGGGAGAGGGATCCTCACATGTGACTCTCTGAGGTTTTGAGGGTTAAGGTCAGAGGATGTTGCACCTTGTTCTGTCCAATGAGGCACAGTGTGATTTGTGAATATTGGCTATACAAATAAAATCTGATTGATTGATTGATTGACCCTCAGTTGGACCTCAGTGTGTTCTAGTAGTTGTTCCTGTTGACAAGATGTTTATTTGGCAAAAAGCTGGAGCCTCATTGTGTCTTCGAATGACAGAAAATCACAACTTGACAGATTTGCAGGAAGAAGAGTTTTCTTGGATACCTGCTGCGGTGCTCGAAGTTTCCTTTGCAGTGGAACTTGTGGGCAGGGAAGACGGTGAAGATGCCCTCCTCTGAGCTGAAGTACTGCCACTTTATCCCCGGGTTGGACTTCAGGTTGTCTGCCAACACTGCAGAGGGAAAGGACACAGAGAGAACAGGGGGAAATCAGATAGAGGAAAGGTGGGTCAGTACTCAGGTTGAACTTTTATTGCCTCCACCTCTTCCAGGAAGGAAAACTCTTCAAGTTCAGGGATCAGCTGTGGATCCTGTGTGGACTCGCATATAAAGATCATAAACAGACTCACTAAACAGTATTTATGTGCCATGTTCATAATCAACACTTCAAATCATGACTTCCAGATCCAGAGTTTGTGACAGGATCATCCAACGCTGAATCTCAATTTGAAGGTAATCAGCTTGAGAAATTATTTTTCTCTATGTACTGTTGTGAAAAAGGGGGAGGGGTCAAAATATTTTTATTTGCCATTGCAGCAGTATCCCAGGTCTCATCATATATCCACAAATCTCGGTTAATCATTCGCTGCCCCACACAAACTTTACTGACCCACTCAAAAATCTTTGCTCCGTCTGTTTCCAGTCTTTTCACACCTGATACATATGCAAACCTGCCTATTCACGCATGACATGGAATTAAATACATCCCTCTACACATGTAAATGCCTCTTCTCATAGAATAAATTAACTTTGAGAAGAAAAAGAAGTCTGAACTGTTCGACTACTGTAAAGTTTACAATACATCCCTTTTATTCGTACACCAGATTTTGATCTGTGTGTCGCGGCCGTGACTGTGGGACAAGCTGAAATAACAGCCCCATAATACAGCTGACTGAGACAGCGAGCCCGAGTGTTTGCTCAAAACCAACAGGCAGATTTTTTTACTGGGTCACAGAGTAAACAGTATCTTCATAGAGATCCCATCACAAAGCCAGCAACTTCCTTTCCGCTCGCTGCAACACAAAACGGCCTTTCACAAAGAGAGATTGAGGAGGGGGGAGCGGGTCGGGGGGGAGACACAAATAGAAACTTTAGGCCTTTAACCAGGCAGAGAGGGATGAATCAGAGCGTAGCCATCACGGCCTGCTTCATTAAAATAAACAATGCTGCAGCTGTTCAAATTTTAAAATACAGGAATCCATCACCTCAGGTCATCTCATAATCTAAAATCAAAAACCAGCAGAATTCATGCCTGGATGTACATCAGACATCAGGCTGACACTGTATTGAAGGTTTCGCTATTTGGCTGTAATATACGTCATTACTTCAATGTGAAACCTGGGCCAACCTCGGGTAAACGACCTAGATTGATGATGTGAATTTCATCTTATGCTCAGTTTCTTTTCCAAGAAAATGTTTCAAATCGTATTTCTGGTAAAGATGCGTTGTGGTTTAGGCAGTTCATTAGCAGCAGTGTCCATTAACAGATTATTTGATGTATTCCAATGGTGCCTCTCATGACCTGGAATAGGATTTCAAAGTATGTTGTTAATTAAGCCTACGGTCCACAGACTATCCTCCATTCACGGTGAGTTTAGGCTCTTAAACAGTCCCACAATGTGGTTCTTGGCTTGTGATCACATTGAATTAATCACGTGCTAAAAAGAACTTGATTTGACCTTTTCCAACCTTCAAACAATATTACGAGCCAAAGACTTTTTCCTGCTGTGGAAAATTAAAAGTCAAATATTCAACTCACAGGGAAATCTGAAACAAATTAGGTATATACACAAACAGATAAATTACAGAACAACTGTAACATCATCCAACTGCCAAAATCATCCCCTCTGGCTGCACGTCCTTGGCAGAGAACTGCTTTTTGAGACACAGCAGCTTCTTGCACACCGCGGCCGCTCATCGTACGTTATCCATGCCCGGTCCCTCCATCCATCTCCAAGGCTCATATAAACAGGAACCACTCAGCTGTGTTGACAGTAGAAGAAGGACTCTGTAAACATCTGTCGGGCAGCACCGCTCCACTTCTGCCACCAATGTTTAGATCTTTGCAGAAACGGACGGACCAGCCGAGAAATATGACCCAAATTACTCCAGTCATTTGCTAATTGACTTTCTGCAAATGAGCCACTTGATCCATCTGTATCCACACCCATACATAAACACACTGGATGTAGCACTTAAAGTGGAGCAGGGTAGTAGAATCAGAAAGATGATTCAGAAACAAAAAAAGACTGTATTCAAAGAGCCACCCAAGTGTATCTTCATCTCAGGAAACTGTAGAAGCTGTAATTATGGTGGTTTTATAGGGTTAAATTTGATAGAGAACTTGGGTGTGTGTACATATGTGTACAGGCATAACATGTAGTCTCAACCATTCAGGACATGTGAAGGTGCACGAAGACGAGGTGGTGGGAGAGAGGTTTGGGGGATGGAAGGGAAAACGGTGAAACTACTTTGGAAAAGAAAATAGATGGAGAAGAGAAGATGCATCAATCTAGTCCTGTAATCACACAGCCCTGCAACAACAGCCATCTCTCATCTATTAGTCTTTTCACTTCCACCTGCTGGTACCACCACTGATGCCTCCCACATCCACTATCTCCCCCGTCTTCCCCTTTTTCCTCTGAAAAAAGGCAAAAATGGAAGATGAGAGGAGAGAAGATGGAGGGAATACAATGCTGTCTTGATACAATTACTCCATTTCAATCAGCTCTCACCCATCCCCTTCTCCTTCATTCATCATTCTCTCCCTCTCAATTATCCTTCACTCTTTCACTCACCCCCCTCCCTCCCCTCTGCGGCTGCTTGTTTAGACTGGGCTGAGACAAATGGGAGAGAATGAATACACTGGGAGCGTGGGGGTCAAGGAGGGCTGAGTGTGGAGGGGCAGGGAGAGGAGAGGGGAGACGGAGGGGTAACTTGAACTCGCTGTGACTGGCTCGCAAGGAAAATAACACCCCGCCGATGATGACGTGCAATGAATGGCAGTCATTATGAATGGTTTTGCAGGGAGAGACAAGCAGGCTGAGATATCTGGGAGAAATGGGAGGCAGGGGGCAGCTACGGGATGACAGAGGGGAACAAATGCAGTTGGAGGTTTCTCGTAAAAAGGGGAAGGCGAGGGGGGGCGATGACAACGTCCATTTTGCAAAGGACAAGTACAAAGTAGTTTGTACAAAGTTGTCCTGATTCATCTGAAGGCAACATGTTTTAGGCCTTTGCTGAAGGGCGACCATCAGGGAAGGCGACAAACAGCTAAACAACAGTCTCTCTCCAAAGAAATTCAAGTTGTTGATATGAAAAGAAGAATATTAAGTTTAAGTCCTGCATCTTTGCACGAGAGGACAAGCATGACGGTTACATTTCCAAAGTTATGAAGATTCAGATGCAGCACAGTCGACAAGCTTGTTGCCTGACATGTTAAGGGAGAAAGTTACCTGCAGTGTAGCTGATAGGAAGTGCATGAATGGAGTTTAAAGCTAGATTTGTATTTGACTGTGGCAGGTAAACATGCCCACGAACACGTCTTGGTATGTGTATGGTAAACTCTGGAAAATGTCCAGTCTGAAAAACGCGATACATTTGTCCAATCTGACCATTTCTTTTTTAAAACTAACCAACCTCTAAACTCAAACAAGGATTCGGTAAAATGTGTTCGAATTCCCTTGATGAAAACAAACACAAATTCCTGGTGAGAAATGACCGAGTACTGGGTTTAAACTGGAAACTTAAAGAGAAACATGGAAAGTGGTTCAATCTGCCAGGAAATACAAGTCTGTATGTATTTTGATATTTCTTCCCTGGGAGCTGGAGGAGCACTCTGCTAACCAAGAAAACCTGGAGGTAAGTTGGCTTTTGACTGGTTTTCAGTATATTTGGTGCGTTTTCTTCTTAATCAAATGCAGACCAACACGTGCGGTGCAGACACATGGGAATTTTCATGGAAACGTGTCACAATGGCTCTTGCAACCTGGAGCCTTACTGAATGTATTGTGGGAGCAATGAGAACACCAGCTAACAGTTTTCCATTGCTCTCACTCATATGATTTGTTATTAGAGGTATGTCGAGGTTACATGTCCAGCGTGTGCAGTTACAGCGGAGCAGTTTCTATTGGAGATAAAGTGAGGACAGAAACAAAGCCCCGAACATCAGCATGATGAAAACCTGCACAACCTGAGTGCACCGGCAGACAGGAGTTCAAAGTCAAACCAGAGTGTATTTGATCTCAGGCTATGAAAAACGTTTTAAATTCAAAGGATGTAAAAACAGAGAGAGAAAGGAAAGACGGAGAGAGTGAGGGAGCTGAGAGAGGACCAAAAAAAACCCTGCCTCTCTGGACATGCACAACTCAATCTTAGATCAGTGGGGTTTTTATTTTTAACACTAAGAGGAATGGAAAAGACAAAAGGGCTTCATTATTTAAAAAAATTGGTTGTCATGGCAATTGCTTTCAAATTGTTACCAATTTTGCAAACAGACCATTTAAAATGTTTTATTCAAAAGTCTGATTTTTGTTCCATCAAGGCCCAACAGTCCCCTTATGAAAAGGATCTGCACCTAAACACAACTGTTTTCTATAAGATCCATGAATTAGAGAAAACATTTTTAAACATCCCATCTTGCAACAATAAAGAAAGTGAAAAGATTCCTGGATCTGCCCCCTGTTCGTGTGATGTGTTTTGCGATCTGTTTGTGTGTGTTTGTGTGTGTGTGCGTGCGAACAAACCTGAGTTGAGGTCCCGTCCTGGGTTGAAGGCTCGGCTGTTGACGGTGGGGGAAAGTCTATCGCAGCAGATGGTCTTGGAGACGTTGGTGTTGAAGTTTCCGTCGAACCTAAACGCACACAAACGGGCAACATTTGAGTCATTTTATAGAGTTTGTCCGACTCGTGTGTTGGTGGAGCCGCTCTGGTTTTCCACTATACACTAAACAGATTTACTGCTCCACCGCTTTATTTCCAAGAAACCCAAACTCACAGGTTTGTTCGTTCCTCTGACTTTGCGCTAATGTTCACATTTAAACTGAAGGAAAAAAAAGCTTTTAACTTACATTACAAGATTTACACAAACCTGTGTGAAGTTAATCCAATTAGATGAAACATCTGTTGGAACTAATGGGCCCGGTTAGTTTCATTTGAACACACTGGATCACCGGCTGTATCATGTGTTGCCCAGGCCTCATATTAAAGTCACAGTTATGGCTGGTGAATAATCTTTTCCATGGAAAAATTGCTGGAATTGCGCTTTTCCTCCAATGAAGCTAATACCCAGTTCCCTGAATACATCTGAATGTGATTGCAGAAAAGGCTGCCTGCGCAATTCACTGATTGAAATCATCTGTCACGGTGCTCTGAATCGTATTGTCAGTCAATTTCTATATTTTCCCCTCATTCTCCCAGGATCATTTTCAACAGATTTTTATTCTAAATAATATATTTAACGGTCTAAGGACAGAGGGAACTGCTGTACAAAAAATATCATGTAATAAGTAAAATCTGAGATATTGGGCTTCATGAACAAAATTGATGCCACCACCCTACATCACATACTCTATCTTACTGCAGCTCATAAAAACTTAATTCAGGAGCCACATTCTTTGAAAGACCTGGTCTACACAGCTGACGGCGGCTGCACCCGTCAACAGCCTCGTCGACCACATCGCCCAAAAAATAAGACGGTCTGGTCTTTCTATTACATCACCAGCCTGCCCCGTCCTTACAGCGGTCGCCTAGCAACAGAGCTACAGATGAAAACTTTGTGTTGATTAAAAACGTTGAAATTATATTGTATACTGTGAGCTGTTCGGTTGAGAACTTGCTTTTTGTAGCAATGAATCATGGGACATGTTGGGCCAGGAAGGAGGCTCTGTTGCTCGGCGGGGGGGAGGACTTGGAGGAGCCTTTGAATTGGTACAGTCTGATCACGCGGCTGTGAACCAATCTGTCCTCCGAAGGATGCAACCCCCCCGAGACCTTTGGATCCTTAGCAGATCAGGGATTCTGGGAAATATTTGTCCTTTGTGTGATTATCGGTTTTATTCTGCCCTATACAACAATATGCTCTTTCTATCATGTACTCCATGACGATGAAGGACCCTGTGAGTACTGGTGTCGTGTGAAAGGTTCTCAGTAGTGCAGCGTTAAAAACACACACACACACAGTGTTGAAGAGGTGTCAAACAGTGATATCTGTGTTGGAATCGGCACATCTTAATCACATTCATTTTCATACATGACGTATCATTTTTCAGTGATGTCTAAAGTGTCGAACAGCAGCAGCGTTGTTTAAACATCACGTGTCCGAGCCGATGCTAACACACAAACGGTTTCCACACACCCTTTATCTCTGGAGCTGAGAGCTGACAAACGAGGGAGGTATGCAGAGGAGCAGGCTGCTCTGCACTGCAGCAAGCCTGGGTGCTTTGATCCTTCCATCCCTCAAACTAGAACCCCCCCGCACACACACACACACACTACACCCATCCGAGGCTCCCTCTGCTTGCAGACCTTGCACTGGCCTGGTTTGATTGACAGGTGCTGTGATGTACAGGCTGCGTTTGAACTTCACTCATTTAGAGTCCCATAAGGCCAAAGTCATTACTATTCTCCTTCAAACCACTTTGCATAGAAGGGGCTGGGCAGGACGCTCGGCAAAAATGTGTGCCAGATAAAAAATACATTTGCAGGCCGCTTTTGAATTCCACATCAAAAAAACATATGAGAGCGAGGGAGGGAGAGAGAGAGAGAGAAAGAGAGGAGGGTTTCCATTCTGATCAGATCTTAATGAGGGCAGAAAAATCTGTTTTGCAAAAAAGCCTTGACTCTCACCAGACACGAGAATCAACGAAACACAAACAACAGACAAACAGATTAAGAAAAAATCATTTCTAATTGTATTAAACCCAAATTCGTATTCATAAATGTTACAAACCTGATGCACAGTGCTTTAAATAATTCTGCCAATGAATATGCATATTAATAATGTATTGTAGGAGCGCTCGCTTGATTACCATATCTCCCAGAAGGGGAGTGTTCTCCAGGCTGTTATAAGAAATGATCCCGAAGACAATTCAATAGCCGGCACCACCACCACCTCAAAAAACAGTGAAACACACATTTATTGACGTTTCTTTGGATTTTGAGTGGAAACTGACAATTATTCCAGGGCCAGCAGCACTGTGCATCAATTCTGAGGAAACAGAGGGGGGGTTCTTTGCTTGAGGAAAAAGTTTTTACAATTCTGGAAATCAAAATCTTCCATCATAGACAAGAAATGAAGTCAATACACTCCTAGCACCTGCTGTGTTCAGCATTAAGAAATCCATTATATTAAGCTGTAGCCTGCTGCAGGATCCATGTTTATCCACAGAGGAGGTGTGCACACGCCATTCAGAAAGCCCAGCGAGTACAATTACCTTGAAAAGGCTCTCTGTTGTGAAAGCTGCAAAGTCAAGAGTGGTGTCGTTCCTAATGTGTTTGCGAACCTTCGGTCGACAGCGGCAGTGACGTCTGCGACACGCCAGCTGAACAGTTTTTGACCACGAACAAATCCAAACAAAAACATGGAACAAAAAGTTCTATGGTCGGTTTTAATCCTGTCTTGACATGGCACTGATAACATTAAACTGGGGGTTACGTCTGATATCTTGGTCTCCCTGGAGACAGCACCTTCCAAAGTAATACAATCAAAAATGAAAAACGCCACGTACTAAACATCAGAAAGGTTAGGTGGAGGGAGAAAAAACACTGCAGCATTCACACCTGTTAAAGTCACTTCAACTAAACTTCCTCCCAACCTGCCTGGTATGTTTCCATCTCCTCCTCTAATACGCAAACGGAGATACCCTCGTCACGCCGATGACGAGGATATCTCCACCATGAGATCAGCTTGATCTGAAGGACCAAGTCTGAGTCGCTGCCACATATACGCTTGATCTGGACTGTAAATCTGCCAGCATCCTAGATAGTGAGAATTCTTTCTCAGAAACAGGAGCTTAGTATGAGCACTGCGGCGTCCACAACCTCCCTGTTTAATTTACGAGCGACCGTACTGCAAACTCTCGGTGCAATACCATCCCTCATATAAAGATATTTTACAGCTGTAATGCAGCTCAGTTCGGCGTTTGATGTTTAGCAACCTGGAGAAATTAAAAATGTGTTTGTTTTGTCATCTGGGAACTGCAAACACTGGGCTGCACCTCAACTGGGATACTTTTAGTGAAACAACCATTAACATAAATTTGGTCAAAATAAGACAAAAGTCAAATGATGAGGATTGTGAGTTGAAGCCATTGTTACTATTTATAATCATTTAAAGGTCAACAGAAGTAGAACATTAAGATAATTGAGACTTACCTGCGTTGATTAAAACCTAGAGTGTAATATTTTAACATGTATTAGTTTTAAGTTTGAATGGAGATGATTGGATTCTATACTTCTTTTAACTTTTTAATAACCTGCGGAAACCCTGCATATAAGAGAAGATGTAAAGTTAGCAGAGATTGGATTGAGGAGTTATTCCAAATATATTTTAGATCTTCCAATTACAAGTAAACCAATACAACACATTAGTTGGTATTGGAAATTAAAATCCTGATTTATAAGTTTCTGTCACAAAAGATTGAAAGTTCTTGTCGACAATAATAGATGTAATGACAGCACAGACTTTATGACAAGCTGCACTCTGGGGGTAGTTTTGGATGAACTGAGAGAAAATTGGGTAGAAACATTAGTTTTTTCCCCTCAGGAGGAAACTTTGGTGCCTTTTCGTTTCATCCAGCAACATCACCACCATGAAAACACCAGATTTTAACAAGCTGCTGGTCGAACACTGTGACATGGCCAGATGTCTTATCTACTTTTACTACCACCTTCTCACTCGTCCTCCTCTACTCTGGTCAGATAGGTATTTGTATTTCACGGCATCTTATTTAACAGCCCGTTCGCAGCTTATTTTTTCATGAACTTCTGGTGAAATGAGACCATTAAATGTCATCTGGGCTGATCCCGAGCACACTTCTCACTTTCACGACTGCATATCAGTGGAACTGTTGAAATAAGCACCTCGAGATGTTAAAATATAAACACACAGACCCATGTGCAAACACACACACACACACACACCAACTCTGTGAGCTACATACTTTTTCTATTTTCAGGTACAGCCTGTTGTTGAGCCTGAGCAGTGATTAAAGCATACCACCAGGTACTAAGCGCTGCCCTCTGTGGCCTCCCTGAGAAATGATAGCCTGCTAGCCTGACTGCTAACAGACAGGGACACCCTGTGAACCACCTGATCCGCCTCTAAACTGGCTGACCTGACCGAGACCCCCACAAGCAGCTGACGCCTGAGACCAATGAAGGACACACTGAAGTGAACTACACAGAGATAAAGCCGTGTCATGATCGAGGGCCCACCCACTCCTATTCTTTACCACACACACACACACGTTTGTACTTCTCTCTCTTGGTGAGGACAGTCATTGGCATAATGCATTTCCTGGCCCCTTACCGCGATCTTAGCCATACAAACTAAATACCCAACCCTAACCTAATTCTAACCATAAACCTAAAACCAAGTCTTAACCCTCAAAAAGCCCCAAAAAGTGAAGGACTGAATGTCCTAACTTTTCAAAAATGTCCTCACACTGTAGGGTTGATTGCAATGGTCCCCACAAAGACATAAGTATACAGGAACGCACAAACACAGCATTTAAGACCATTCAGACAAACATTAGAAATAATCTCCATACATCACCAATACATCACTGTCACATGACCATCCCGTGTGTCAGTGGTAGTTGAGTCATGGCCGATAAGATCCGGTCGGGGTGTTAACACGTCCAGGCTAAAATACAACCCTGGAGATTCCAGAATAAACTGGCAGCATTTACAAACGTCTCCATTTAAGAGGCTCAACAACTAAGTTGATGACAGACGTAGATAAAACAAAAGTCATCTATTTTTAAACTGAAATTTAAACTGAAAAGCGTTAGTTGACGTCATCCAAGTCCACAGTTGTGTTGGAAGTGCAAAACAAACAGGGCAGCGGCATTGGAAACTTTAACAATAGTAAAAGTAATCACATTATATTTTCTTCACATTCGACAAACAGCGCATCCACTCGTTTCACACATACTGCAGCCAAGTTATCAGAACTTAATTTAAACTTGTGAAACTGACAGATGCTGTTTCTCTGATGCAGAGTGCATAGAGGGGGAGAGCTAAATTATTCAACATGCAGCTCCTGAAAGTATCTCACGATCCAACATAAACCCCAAAAAATGATAGTGAGGGAGCTCAGTGCCTTTTCCCCAACTGAGGGAGATTCTTTGAAGCTCGGGGATCTATCAGACGCAGCTTCAGTTTGGTATGTTCAACTCCTCCACCAGCTCCCTCTGCACCATTCCATCCTTCCTACCAAGGCCTTTTCGTTTTCTCTGCAATTTCTGCCTCAAACTGTCTCGAAGCTTTAAATCCACAGCTCCTCACCGCACGTGCAGAGACATAAATACCGCGTGTGAGCAAGTGTTGACTATATGCACTGTGTGTGGTGTGCATGATTCCGGCTACAGGTGGCCGGTGGCACTCGGCCATGGGGCAGCCTCCTCCCCCTTCTCCCCTCTGCACCAGCGAAGGAAAGACAGGTGACCTTGCAGCCTGTGAAGTCTGCAGCGCAAAAACTTCAGAGAGCAATAACTGGTTGCATCTGCTGATAAAGGGGAGGGAGACAGACATAAATGGAGAGCGGGGATGAGGGGTAGAGACAGCTGCTGCTCTGTAGATTAGAACTGAAAGCAGCTCCCTCTCTCTCGGAGCTCGGCTTTGAACTGTTTCCGCCTGCTGGATTGGTTGAAAAGTCTAAACTGTGGACTGGGGCGATTTTAAAAACTCACAAGATAGAATATAAATCTGACATATTAGGTTTCGCACACAGTTTCATAAAAACCCTCGTCACGTCAGCAACCTATTGCACGGTGGCTGAATTAGAAATGTTCCGATACGAATATCAGTATCTGAAATTCCTCCAGTACTGCTGAAAAATAGGAAAATTAAAAAAAAGAAAAACAAGTTTCATCGGTTTATGTAAAGGGACAATCAAGAAAGAGTGTGAATGAGTGAGTGTGTGTCTTTGTGTTAAAGAGAGAGTGACTCACTCCATCATCGATGCTGGTATGGAGCAGCAGTCCTGAATCGCAGTGAGCGGAGACGTGAGGTGGGCAGTGTACGATGCTTCCACCACCTGTTTGTTCCTGTTCACCACATCCAGGTAGCGGTTAAACTTCTCCCGAATCTTCTTGGCCAACTTCACAAAGGAAACACAGATATGTGAGTTAGACAATGACTCGTGGCGACTTTTAGCTTATTAAGAGTTTTACAACAGCAAGACTGACCCAGAAAACTTTACATGGTTACAGTTTGTAGGAAATGATCCAATAAATTAGGTAAAAGCTGCCAAACTAAAGTAGAAAGTAATCAAAACATATCATACACGACACACACACACACACACACACACAGTATTCTCAGAGAAAGATAAACGTAGGGTTAGGTTTAGAAGTTGTACAGTAAAGATAAGTGTCAGTAACAAACAGTCCTGTTTCAGTTCTGCATGAACATTTGTGCACAAACACAAAGGAACAAGTTAAAATACAAAAGTGGAGTTGAATAAAATCAAAGATGCCAGACCTTAGGCTGCACTAAGTGTGAAATCCATCACTGTTAAAAGCAGAGCAGGATGATGGATGTTTGAGACCGGGGGAACATTAACTGCTCTCCACAGCGTTTATTAAGAAAATCCAGCCCAAAATACAACACAGGGCCAAAATACATTTAACTGCATCACACAACCCACTGGGTTCTACCTTTTTATCTCTTGTATAGTGCATTTATGTATATTTCTTTTGTCGATTATCTTGCACAAAACACTTGCAGCTACTCATCCTGTTCGTGAGACATGTTTTCCCTCTCAACATCTGATAAAAGGCTCGTAGAGTCTCCAGCGTGCTAGATATTCAGTTTGAGTGTTATTGACCTTTAAAAGGCACCGAAACCAGGAGGCAGGGAGGAGGATATTGGAGTTTCCAAACAAAGGCGGAGCAGCTCATTCAGTGATGTTTACTGGGACTCTGAATCCAAGCCCCGGAACATGCATACATACATTATGCTTTGTCTCTCCTCCTCTGAAGGACTCAGCTCTGTCCGAGCACACATCACACCATGCTTTTTGAAACTGGGGTTCCACCTTCTTTAGGGGAAACTAATAATCTGCGGCGGCCTGCTGGGGGACATTAATAACCAGCGCACCAGCCGCCCCTCACAACAGATCCCTGTTCTTGCTCTTTGTTTGCCAAAGAGCCTGAAAAGGGAGGATACGGTGGATTGCTATAAACTTGCCCTCTCTCAATCTAAAACATCACATGTGTGGCATGTAATCCGTTGCAGATTATCCTCTTAACTTGAAAGCCATCACATGATCCACCGGTTTACTCAAGATCTGTTAAAGAACTAATCACTCGCAGTTACTTTTGGATTAACTTTTCATTTAGAATCTGCGAAATTCCTAAAAAGGTGGATTAACAGTCTTCAAACAATAGTCAGTCACACATATGAACATTGAAACTGGTTTTGTTCGTCGACATCATTCCTTCTGTTTGTTCCATTTGTTCCTAATGGTCTCGCGCTTTTATAGGTTGTGTTTTTGCATAAATTCACGTCTTGTGTTTCCACAGACAGTATGCACGGGCATTTACTTTTAAGGGGTTCTTGCACCTGGTCTGGACAGAGCTCTGAATGGCCTGGCTCTAGATGATATATCAGAAATGCTCCCAGTGTATCAACCGGGCAGATCTCTCAGGAATGCAGTAAAAATGTCAGTGTCTTTGTACCAAAAGCACAAATCATCCCACTCGCTGAATCCAATCTTTACAAAATAACCTTAAGACATTTTTATTCCATTTAGTTTTTAACCAACGCAAGAACCATGTCAAACAGTTCGGAGAGAGTCAGGTGAGAGCCACAGTTAACTGCTTACCACAAATCGTACACTCGGATGTTGCACAGCTTTGCTTTTGCATGCAGCACACCGATCAAGAAAGCTGTCGTTCCAGAGCCATCCACAAAAATGCAGCCCTTTTTTTACAGGGCAGACATAAAGAGCATCATTATTTGGATGTGAAATTACCTCTATTAGGACAAACGATTTAAGACTTTAGCTGGCAACAATAAGAGAAATGTAGAAAAAGTGGCACAGGTCTGAATATTTTCCAAAGCCCTTCCAAGTTACACACAGGTTTATTTCCACAGTAACTGGACTCCCTTTATTTCACATCCCGTAATTACCAGCGCCTGTAAAGGCCTGTGATTCAAACCAGGAACAGGGAAATGTACCGCGACCCACTGACCGCTGGTACACCTAATCAACCACCCGCTATTCTTATTAGGGGTTTAACGGGGGCCTGAGGCACACCCCGCAATTACCACGACTCCGCCACAAGGAACACAGACACACGCACCAAGACATGTGAACACTCACACACAGACTAAAACACACCATGCATCGCAGCATGGCAATTAGCTGCACTGAACTTTGTATTAAAAAGAGGAAAATGGGCCAGTGTTCAGTTAGAGGAGTGTTTCCATGTCTGGGAGGAGGGAGGAACAGAGGGAGAGAGTTGGACTCACACTTTTTAACAGAGTGACTGAAGAGAAACCAGAAACTTCCAGCTATGCAAGTTAAAGCTTGGGTTACAGTCTGCCACGGTGCAGCCAAAGCCAACCTGTGCCCTGGAGATTAACCACATTCTCCGACACACAGGGCTCCTCTCTCCGCTCTCTGACCCATCCAACAAGCCTTCAGGGTTTGCAACACCCGGTTGGGTTGGTTCGGCCACAGAACAGGAGTGGATGGAGTGGGTGCACCCTGAGATTACCAGGCAGTCTTCAACCACAGTCGCTGGCAGCAGTGTTTACTGCAAGTCTTACTTTGGATCGGAGGGTTGGAGTTGATACAGAGCGAGTATAAGACAGATGCAGGTCTGTGCTGCGGGAGTAAGAAACGGGCACAGTCCAACCCTGACTGTGCACGTCTTGCTTCTACTTGGATGAACTAATATTGTTATTGAATTTGTGCTTTTCCACTGGTCTGAAAAATGGACATGTTGTTTCTAATGAGCTGTTGATGCAGCGTTGTGTGTATGTGAACCATGAACCAGCATAAAAGCATGGATCCAGGATATCCACTCTGACAGCACATGTCAGTGACTGAAACAAGAAGAATACATTCATAAAACAGATGAGGACAGAGGAAGAGGGAGGAAGAGGAAGAGTCTGCTTGTCCGAATAATGAATATCCAGAGGAGGAACTCGTGCGACGAGACGGTGGCTCCTCTCTCCTGCTCTTTCCCAGCCCTCTCCTCCTCTGCAGATATAGCCTCCTAATTGAGCCTGGACTTGGCTCAGGGACACAGTCCCTCTGCCCACAGAGAGAAAGAAAGCCAACTATGCCAGGCCTGTCATCTGAATTAATTGATGCCAGCCTCAGAGGGGCAATGGGCAGAATGTATGAGCTGCTCTATGAGCCGCCCATGGAAATAAAATCATTAAACTGCTCCAACAAGGATCCAGAATGAATAAAGTCAGTGCTGCCCCGGGATCCGGGCTTATTAAAATACACCAAATCCATGTGATTGTAATTCTAAACCTCAGGCTTGGTATTGTTGTTGAGGTTTCTGTGGAGAGGATTAAGCTTGGACTGGACCTTTTCTATATAAATGGGACTTTGCACAGCAGGTTATGATCATCATCATGACTCTCGCTCTGTAGCCTGGAAACACGAGTTTTTGGTCAAGAAATATGCCACAGATATAGAATCTACTCGTTCCAGAAATCTGTCTGTGTGTATATGGGTCGCGTATCTCCAGGACGCAACCCAAGGTGTTATGGGCCAAAATAAGTGCAGCCATGAATTTGGTGACACCATAAATATGACACACAAAACATGCATGCACCAGGATGGATGCACCAGTGCACACAGTGGCAGGAGATATGCAGAGACATCAACCTGTCTGCTCTTGCTGGTGGCTGTTTACCAGACTGTTGTTTACTGTCACTCTGCCAATATCCCTGACGCACAAGTGCAAACACACACACTCGCGGTGATGCCATGCCTGCACACAATCATGACTGCCTTGACATCAGATGCCAGAAATTCTATGCATAGTTTTCCAATCAAGGACAAACAGGGCACAAGTACAAATTCTGATTTGGAGGTTTAAGGGTCATTTTAAACAAATCTCCCAATTCTGTGGCTGATGTCTTTGTTTCCAGACAAGACGCCATTCTCTCCTTCAAGCCGTCTCATCCTGTCTGACTGCAGCTCGGCGCTCAGCGCGAGTAAAGGGAGGAGGAGAGACAACAGACGAATGGAAAAACAAAACTTCAAAGCCAATGACACAGCAGCTGTGGGATTTTAATAAACACCATTTTCCTCTGATGGTGACGGTGAGCGCGTGTGTGCGCGCACACTCATTATTGCTGCTGAATTGAAACCTACACACAACCAGACACCATCCATGACACATCCATGCACACAGGCACACACACACACACACACACACACGCACACACACACACACACACAGAGAGATAGTAGAATCCTTTGTTTCTCACCTGCTGCACTTCTGTCTCTCCGTTTGATGTCTTCTCCGTGTACACAAACGAGCTGAAAATCCTCTGTAGTGAGACAGAGAGGGAACGAAGCAGAGGTTAGACGAGGGGGAAAGCTAAAGATTTAGATCCAATAACTGAAATCCATCACCTGAGGACGAGTTTGTTTACACAGGAGGGTTTTGCTTTCAGGTAAGTTTAGGAGCTTTTTTTATCAATATGATAAAAGACAAAAAGAGGTTGAAAATAGTGTGACTGCAAAAGCAGCCTCCCCGACAAACTTATGCATAATCATGAGTACATCATTACTTAACAGTTTATGCATCCACACCTTTTCATATTTGGTGCCATGGCTGCAAGTCCTCACATTTGCAAAGAATGCAGTCAGACCAGGGCCTTTCTGTGGTTGTGTTAATTATGTCTGACAGCTATACTGAGCTTCCTCCGTGGCTGGTTACTGAACATTAAGTGCAGACAAAAGAAATGTGTGTGTCACCAAATTATGATAAGTCAGACAATCGCCACAGTTACAATCATAACAAGAGCATCCATCTGTCCATCGGCCTCAAGGTGGCTGGAGCCAGTCCCAGCTGACGCTGACCGAAAATACATTACAATAACCGCAGGTCCTAACGTCAACATTTTGATTTAGAGTTTTACCAAATGACCTCCTCTTATCTTGGGAAAGCTAAATGTAAAACACTTGTATGACAATTAAAAACCGTGTGAATAGACCTTCACAACGATGGATATTTTTATATGTCGAGCAGAAGTGTAACTGGATCTCATAACAGCTAGATTCCCTGCAGGTGCCTTCCTCCACCGGGACTCTGGCATTGTGTGTTTTGGCACGCTGGCTATAGGCACACCTAAATGTGACAAAAGCATAAGTTACACATTACGAGTCATCATACCTGTGCTTCTCGTGCGAGGACAAGTGCAAATGTTTTCTCAGTTAAACTCAATTAAAGTCATAAATCATGATACTAAGAAAATGATGTGATGGTGTTGTATTCTGAGGTTCCCAGAGTTTTGGACAATGTCTAGAAATATGTGATGATAAGTATTAAACTCTGACTTCACTGAATCCGTCTCGAGTCTAGGCCGACAGCAGCATTAGCACTGATGCATTTCTCTGCACAGACAGGTGCAGAGCTGTTTTCATTACCGGTCCTGAGAGGACGATAAACCTATCTTCTATAACAGCCAAGCAATAGACCCAGACAGTGCGGTTCTGTCGTTTCATTTAGCTTCTAGGTTGGCGAGGAGAATGCGTCACCTGTCTGGAGTCTGGAGATCAGCCATTACACAAAATGATGGTGTGTGTGTGTGAGCCCGATTCACAAGGTGATGCTAAATTCCCTCCGTTCACCTTCCAGCCTGAGGCATTTTAATAGTCCCTGATTTATATTGTTATGTGAATGGGAGGCAGAGCTGTACATGGACACTTGGAGAAAATGAGCCCTGGTCTGACCTCAGCGCTCCGAGAGCAGCAGAACAAACATTCTAAAGAGGTGTGTGAATACAGACCTGCCCCTGACACACACACACACACACTTATTCACATGGTCTCTTGGGTCCCATCGGTTAAATATTCGTTCTCTTACACACACACACTTCCCTAAACACAGGCAGCAGGACTGTGTGGCAGCTACAAACAGAGTAGAACTAATGTTTGTGTTGAGGCAGCAGGTATAGGCAGGTGCTTCACTGTAAGCTGCCCCCGCTGCACACAAAGCCTTAAATTGCCTGTTTCCACACTGCAACCATTTCCTGCCGCCTGCCCACACCCTTTGTTCGACACATTCCAGAGGACACCAATTACCCAGAATGCACCACATTCAACCCGGAGCAGAGTCGCACCAGAGTGTTACTGCCTGCTCACATGAGCGTCTATAGCACCTTTTAACGGATCGTTTCAGCGACAGAAGACGAAGGAAAAGAAAGTTTCACACCATCACAGGGGTCTTTTCAAACATGAGCAGGTTTATCGGGATAACACGGCTTCATCAAAAGAACCAGAGTTTTTCTAGGATATCTGATTTTAACAAAAATGTAGTTTGTGTGCTTTGGATTGACAGTGCGGATACAAACATGGTCGAGATGATCCGGTACCAGCATCAATGCCTCGAATACAGGCAAAAGATGCCTGGCCTGCTTCTCTAAAAGAATATATTTTCCATTCCTCAGATATTTTGCTTATTATCTAGTTATTTTGTTGCTCCTTTAGCATTAGATAAAAAGTAGAAAATGTTCATCCTTAATAATAATCCTTGTGTCTGACAAACAGCCCCAATATATTCAGATTACTATAGAGTCAGATATATGAAAATAACCAATAATCCCTTTACTTTTGATCACCTACCTAATTGATAATAACCAATCTTGGCAGTTGTTATACTTTCATATAATAAACGGAAATCAACACAAATCTACAGATACAAAGTCAGGCATTGACAGACGCAAACAAACACACAACTGTTCCCTGAAGTCCTCACTTCTGGATCAGAATTAGGTCATTCAACCCAAACCTCTGGTATGAAGTTTCAGATGTAATGTGATCACGACTCATAAACACAAACACTGTCAATCTGTGTCAGTTTTAATCCTGACTGTCTCAGTGGAGTCAGCTGCCCTTGTCATGATTGTTTTTGCTTTCATTCTCCACACTAACAGTAGAGTACTATACACACAGTTTCTTAATGTTATTATTGCGTGCGTGCCATACAAACAAACACACACACACACAGCTGCATATTTCACTACTGAGTTATTTGCAAAGTGAAAAACCAACCCCAGACAGTCTACTGTTCCACACCCTCCTTAGTGGAAAAACAGCCGGTCCAAGATGTGGAACTGTCAAATAAACATGGACAAGCGCACACAAACAGAGCTGCCACTACTTAGCAGGAAATCATGCGCTTTCAAAACACCACCCTGACAAAAGAGAGGGGGGGAAATGTGGTGGAGAACCAGGCGCTGCAGTGGAGAAACACTCCGTCTCCGCTAAGCCTGAGAAACAGGGAACAAATTCTGGAGGAGAGAGAAAAGTCCTGTTGTTGATTAGCCACAGGTTAGCTGTCTATCCCCCGGTGCCTCCAGTGTTTGTTGTTGGAGCTGCTTTGCGGTTTTCACAGCTATGGAGCAGCCAGCGAGGAATGCTCCGCTCTGAAACCTGAGAGGCCTGAGGCTGCCGGGGCCACCGTGGGCTTGTGGCCTCCCCTGACCCATAATCAAACACTGCAATGTACACAGACACATACACAACACTACAGAGGCCATAAAGACTGTAACAGTGACAGATAAGTGCTGGAAACATGCCTGGACACTTCACAGTCACCTATCCCAGATGGGGCTGGGTAATATATATAACATAACATAACATAACATATCAATATTAAAGTCACCAAAATATGCCAAAAATAAATATTTAAATTCTTTAGTTGTGTGAGAAATGTGTATTTACAAACAGGTTTTACTTCTTTGTCTAAAAAAAGTAATTGGAGCTAGTTTCAGACATGAATAAATTCATAAACTCCACTGTCTTTGTGTTTATAGATCATCCTCCTCTGCCCTTAACGCCAACAGTTCTCCAATCTCATTCCGAAATATTCATCTGCGCGTTCTACATGCATGGTACCTCTTTTTCATCCTGAGATATTCCCACGTTTTCCTGCTGCATTCTCACATGGGATATTTTCAACAGCCCTATAAAATATTATAATAATAGACAATAAACCAGATGGTAATACATACAAATGTATATTTCACAGCTGTCCAACCCATAAAAACAGCAGGAAACACCCATATTTTCCTAAAGCAAAAAACACTTGATCTTAAAAAAGCCACTTTATGAACCCTTGGCTTCATTTATCAAAAATCATTATGCAGCAAACACACGTGGAGTGCACACAGAGTGAGTAAATCCTTCTGGATGACTAATCACAGCTATTTAATAATATCAGAATTTAGTTTGAGCACCATAAAATGCTCGTTCAACAGGCGCTGGATCTAAATAGGAAGCTAAGCTCACAAGAATTGCATTCACGCTCCTGTCCAATGATCACAGAGCACAAGCCTCCGTCTCATTAGCCCGATTCTTTAAAAACCATCCACCTTGAGGTTAATCCTAACCACAGAAGAGTGACTCTCAAGAATGGCCAAACCTCAGTGGGAGCTTAAACTCCAGATAACTACCAGAACCTGTGGTTTTTTTTAATCCTGTGGTTTCTATTGTAGTGACACAAGGGTCTTAGTCATTGCAGTGCATTTTGGCTGCATATACCTGAACCATCTTATCACTTTATATTGTTCCAAGCTTTAACCAGACTTAAATCCTAACCTGCTTTCACCTCAATTATCGGAGAGGAAGAGGATTAAGGTTGAGCAGGTTTAACCATCAGAAGGAAAGTTTTAAAAGCGCACCATGAGCTCGCAGCGTAACACAGACAACAACTTTCTCCCTCTTTCATTTTCTCCGTCTTGGCTCCTCCGTCCTCTTTGCACCCTGTTACAACAGCTTGGAGCAGTGGTTACACCATGAGAACTTTCCATGTACATGTCATCCGTTAAATTGGGCCTGCCTCTTCAGCGCCTCCGTCAGGGTCTTTTGCAGATGCCATAAACCAACCCAAGAGGCTCTTCTCTCTTTTAAGTGACTCTTCTCTCAGCGGAGCGTTGCATAAAAATCCAGACGGGTAACTGACGATAACAGCCCAAGGACAGAAGTATTCTCTGAGTTGCACGTTTTGAGGCAAAACAAATGAGAAAAATGAGAGAACGTCGAGCTCAGAGATGCACAAAGTGAAAGCAGAGGCAAGATTGGGAAGAAGGAAAGAAAAAAGAAAGGCAGGAAGGAGGAAGAGAGGAAGAGGAGGCCAAGTGCAGTGGTGGGGCTGATTTGGGAATTTGCTGATTAGCAATTCACCCATCTTCAAAGGCCAGAGTGGAGACGTGAGCCACACTAACGTGTAATTGGACTGGAGAGCGCACAAACACACACACACACACACACTAATCACGTCTTTAGGGCTTGATGAGCAGCGGTCCAAGGTTTTATCTGTGAA